TGTCAACTTTATGTTGTCAAACAGAATTTAATATGATCTGTTTTATTATCTGTTAATTTTACATAGGTTTTGTACTTTTTTGCAGTTTTTTAAGCAATAAACGTCTAATTTAAATGGAAAACAACACTAGGTATGGTAACAGGGTAGGACATTTAGTCTTAATTAATTTGGTCACTAAGTAGGGATTAACTAGTTTGGGACCACATTTCAGTTTGCAGTATTTCATAAACTTGATAAAGAACAAAAAAATGTTTTTAATTAAATAAAATAAATAAATGTCTTGCATGTGGTTTACAAATGTTTCATGGTAAATGCTTTTTCAGTGTGTTCCCTACACGGGAGTCAAACCTAAGATACTGATGTATCAAGCATCATTGTTAATTAGTCTTGCTAAAGTATTTGTCCTTATGGTTCTTGAACACATCTGGGGAGGCACATCAAGTGGTTTACCAATGCAAGGATGATCAGCTGTCCTTCCTATCTACCTAAAACTGTTTAGTCGTCTTCCATTATGGACATAACAGTTATAACTGTGACCTTTATTGCCTACCACCTGTAAACCGTAAGTGTCTTAAGGACAGTTCCACGTACTCGCTGTCTGAATAACCATGGAATTGAAACCGTAATAATTAGTAACTTACAATGTTTTTATTAAATTGTGATCACATTCAATTTAAAATGTTTAATGACATGACACCCATATCTGGTAATTGCCTAAGAAGACGGGTTTATGATGTGCATAGTGAATTGAGTGCACTAATATTATGATACTTGTAGCCTTACCCTGGAGTTGGTTCGTCCTCCGCCTATGGATGTTTTCCCACTGATCCACCAAGACATTTGCAAGTTCTTGAACACATCTGGGGAGGCACATCAAGTGGTTTACCAATGCAAGGATGATCAGCTGTCCTTCCTATCTACCTAAAACTGTTTAGTCGTCTTCCATTATGGACATAACAGTTATAACTGTGACCTTTATTGCCTACCACCTGTAAACCGTAAGTGTCTTAAGGACAGTTCCATGGGTGCATGTGTAATAAGATTTTTTAGTTCATTGTACAAGTATAAAAATTATTGTTTAAACCCTCTCCAATAAATCTGATCTGTAAGCTATCTGGATTTGGATACTGTATCTTTAAAATAGCCTACAGTATCCTGAAAAAGGGACTTTTTTTTGTTATTGCTGAATATGCATGTAATATTTTCACATTGCAATCGAAATTAACTAGCTTTATTATCATAAAAAGAAGGGAATGAAGAAATAAAAATAAAAAAAGCGACGTTGTGAGACTGCTGCACTCTAGTGGCTGTAAATCACGTGAAAGATCCAAATGAAATGTGATTTAGGTTTTGCCACAAGAGGACAGTAACCTTGCGTAACCTCCACAGCTGCATTGCCTTGAGTGCATACAACGTTTATTAATAGTTTTATTATTAATTCCAAGAACACTTTTTTATAGTGCGCATGCTGTTAATGAATACTGATATGTAACAATAACTATAGCCTATATTTTAACAGTGCTGTTGTGTTGTAGTTCATAAGGAGGCATCAAAATATGAAGAGCTTTGAGGACTGAATAACAATATTTATATAAAAATCAATTGTTAGATGTGTATTTAAAGTTATTGTTTTTGTCATCTCTGCAGTCTTTTTTTGTAATCTTAATTTTTGGCAGGTAACACCAGACAAAGAAATAGCTCTTCTCAGTCTCTTCGACTGCTTCCATAATTCACCCACAAGATGGAGACTCTTGTTTATGTCTTTTGTTTCTTATGGTATTTTTTATCCTTGCTATTCTGATGTTTTAATGCTAGGAACTGGGGAAAGATTCATCTCACATATCGAAATACTGTGTATGCAAGATAACTGAAATGCGAATGAATTGTAAAGCCATGTTATAGAATGAAAATGAATTTAAATAGCATTTAATTTAATATCCAACAATGAAGAGACATGGTTTGAAATTCACCCAATCTGGCAAACAATAATTCACTTTTTTTTTTTTCTAGCCAAGGCAGATATTAACAATGGTTAGGGAGTAACTCAGCCTCCTCATTGGGTTTATTAGTAGTTGTTTATTTGTAAAAACAACTTGATAATGATTCCAAAAAAGGCAGTTTGTGCCAGATGAATTATCAAATACATTTGTCTCCTTTTAAACCTGCATAGTGCCATGTTGTTGCTCATAAATAAATGTGGAATTCAATGCCAGATGTTGCCCAGTCCGGCCAATTCTTAAGGTTTTTCTGTGTTAGTTGCAGAAACAATAGTGCGGGTGCTCTTATGGAGAAGGGGACAGATGGGGTCCCCTCTTCAAACAATGTGTGTAGAGTGGGGGAGGGTGTTATGCATTGAAAGTCATCCTCGACCAGATATCACCCTTTCACCAGTGTGACAGAGGGGGGAAAACTGCACGGGTTTATGTGAAAGCTCATAAACCCATATTGCAGGAATGGAGAGCTTTAGCCACCGCCATCTGTCTGAAATTAATATTTGCATGCAATGCGTTGGCAAACAGAACCTGATTTTTGTTTTGCTACAAGCTTTCATGGTATGTAAATATGGACTAATGAAGTCTATTATTTTTGTCAGATTGGGTGCATATATATGGTGTATTTATTCTACACGGAAAATAAATACAAAAATGAAAAAAAAAGAGTTAAATATTACAAATATGTAATATATGTAAATTGTTTATATAATATTATATTTTACATAATAAATTCTGAAAATAACAATTTGTTTGTTTGTTTTGCAAGAATGAGTATAGAATAAACTAAATATTTGCATTTTATTCAGTTTATGCAGGTTCTCTGAGGTAATTTTTTATCCACAGCATCTACTTGTATCAGTTAAATGTTACACCGATAAACACCAGATAAAAAATATATATTGTATGTGAAGATGCTAAATAATTCTAATCTGACTATTTCCCCAATCCCACACTATCAGGCCTGTATTTGATTGCAGATCCATGGAAGCATACTCCATTTTTAAGCAATAGCATCATGTATCATAATTCTCACATTACTGAAGCTTTTGTGGTCTAAATAAAATAATCACCCATTTTATTTCATGAGTAATGAGCTTTTCTAGAATGCGACGGGTAGAATAAACAATGCAACTGACTTTGATTGTTTCACATTGATTGCATTTCATGGATGGCTGGACTCAAAGAAAACAAGTGTTTTATAGACATTTATTTTGCTCAATTTTCCCCCAGTAAATAGGAGCCAAATGTCTCAGTATCGGTTTGCCACATCAAACTGAGCATAGGCCTATGTATTTCGGATGACACTGGCGCACTGCTGAGTTTTTCCACAGAAATGTGAATTGCGTGAGGTGGCTCTTTGTGTGCATGCAGTAGACGGCGCAGCATCACCTTGATGCGAATCTGGAATAAGAGAAGTGCTCGCCTCTGGCCCTGTTTTGACACAGGAGGAGTGTGTGTGACAAGAGGATACAGAGAGTCTTAATGGGCACTGAGGACACTGTACTGTAAAAAAAATTTTCACTATAGAACAACATCTTTGCGTCCATCCATTTAATATGTATTTATATTCAATTTAAAAGTATTTTAAACAATTAAGTTTTTATTAGTAATTTAAATACAGTTTTAAGTTAAAATACTGCATTAATCATCAACATTATCATCATCATCATCTTAAATTAAATTGTTAAATGTAATACTACTACTACTTCTTATAATAAAAGTAAAATTACTTGGGCTGCAAAATGATTGATCGCAATTAATTGCATTCAAAATAAAGCATTTGTTTACATACTATATGTGTGTGTACTATGTATATTTATTATGTATATATAAATACACACACATATATGTATATATTTAGAAAAAATATGTAAAATTTATATATAAAATATTTATATACACACATATATATGTGTGTATTTATATATACATAATAAATATACACAGTACACACACACATATAGTATGTAAACAAACTTTTATTTTGAATGCGATTAATCACGATTAATGGTTTTGCAGGCCTAAAAATTACATAAATGTTATTGTTTATGTAATTGTTTGTATTTAATTTACTTATTATTACTGTATTATTATTATTATTATTATTAAATAACAATAATACAATTACAAAATGCATAATAATAAATAATAAAATTACAGTAATGTTATTATTGTTTAATTTGTCAATTATTAATATTACTGCATTAATAATAATAATAATGATGATAATAATAAATTAAATTGTTAAATGTAATACTACTTCTACTACTAATAATAGTAAAAATAAAATGATATAAATTAAATGTTGTTTAATTTTGTATGTAATTGTAATTATATTGTATTTATATGATTATGATTATTATTATTAAGTAATAATAAAATGGCATAAAAATGAAAAAAAAAAAAAATAATAATTTGCCATTTTATATGAATATTATTGCATTAATAATAATAAATTAATTAAATGTACTACTACTACTACTACTACTACTACTAAAATTATATAAATTAAATCGTATTATTGTTTATTTTGTATGTAATTGTAATTTATAGTATTAAGTAATAATAAAAGGCATAAAAATTAAAATAAATAAATAAATAAATGTACTACTACTTCTATTAATAAATAAATAAAATGACAAAAATTTACAATACAATAATAATAATAATAAATAAAAGTACAAATCACATAACAATAATAATCATTATAATAATATTATAATTATTATTGCCTAATAATAAAAATATACTGTCGTATAATTCTGGATTAGACAGAGACGAGCTGCGCATTTTTATTTTTTACATCCCTGCGCCTATTTTACAATGATGCTCTCGCATTTTCATCACCGCCGCCACCTCCTGTATTGTCATGTGACAAGCAGGATTTATACATCGCTTTGCCGGAGAAAAATCAAACCTCGACCAATCACAGTTCGAGGTGGGCGTGTCTGCTTCTCCACATTTGACAGCCGCGGTCTCGGCTCCACATGACGTCACCCACTGCCCTGAGCTCCAGCAGAAACGCGCAAAGATGCTCTGAAAGCAAGACTGCAGCATCTCCGAGTCAGAGCCTACAAAAACATCGCATCTCCTCCAAGCGCTCGTCCATCCAGCTCTATCTGCAGGGTTTGGCCTGCATGCGGGATCCGCTGTTTTTGTCTCTCGCATCTTGTACATTTCCCGTTGCTATTTATTATCCGCGCACATCTTCCCAGTTTTTAGCAGTGAATCTTTTGAGTTCTGCTGACCACTGAGGTCATACATTGTTTCCAGCAGGAGAGCGCCATCGCAAGCCACGAGTGAGGACGTTTCCCCACATCACTTCTTATTAATATCAGTGCAGCCTGAGCATAATCGAGCTACTGGATATCGATGCGTCTTTCGTTCTGTATCTAGGCTGCTACGGAGGATCGACGCACCCCAAACATTCATCGTGGTTTCACATTTAGAAACGACCATATCTGCGTATCGCGTCTAGGGAGAACGAGAGCGAGCCTAAAGCTTCTTTATAAAAAATGATGGCCGGTGGGGCAGTGCAGCAAAACGGGATTTTCTCCAATCCGCATCATCACAATCAGCAGCCGCACATGGAGTCTGATCCCCCCGATTCCCGCAAAAGACCCCTGGAGACCCCAACGGAGGCCAGCAGCACCAAACGCACAAACACAGGAGGTAAGACCCAAACGTTATCTAGATAGGCAACTCACTTGCCAATGAATTAGCGACTCTTCCCAAAGACAAGTGCTTTGATGTAAATCCACGAAAGTGTAGCCTAATCGTTCATGGCAGGTTCATTTTCGCTTTCCACGGAGCGTCTCACCATCTAACGCGGTCATGCTTCACCAGACATGTGCATCTGGGATTATATTCATATTTACAGTTCGCGTCCATTTTAAGTGGCCCAGAATTGGTGGTTGCGTCTAGTCTTACGCACCTACGATAGTCGTTTATCAAACACATCCTCAGTATTCCTAAATTAACGGCTTATGTATGGAATAAAGCGGCTGTGTATTCCTAAATATATATAGGCTAATATTATGAGCGCGTACCAAAACATTAAAAAACATGGCTCGTTGCGTTTACGCATCCTTGCTATCACCGCAGATGACCTTGCGTTATGATCTTGTGCTTTGAATCTAACGTATAATCTTTTATTTTGAAATTTGGCCCTGAAAAATAAAGTTATGAATGATAAACGATTAGAATATTTTTTATGAGATGTATAATGATAGTGTTAAAAATTATTATACCACTTGCACTTTAAGATTTACTATAACATGATACTCAAAAATTAAGTAAAAGCCTGAAATGTTCTGTATGCGTGCTTCACCTGCATCACTGATATTCGACATTTCTGTGCTCCGACGTGCACTATACCTTCAATTTTTTTTTACTGTAGTCTATTGTTTATACTGGACCCATGCTTGTTTGTTTATTATGCATTCCGGCAGATGCAGAAGTCTCGTGTGCACTACAATTGTCTGCTAAACTGTTAGGCTAGTCATGTAATTAATCAGTTAAAAACAAAATATGCATGTATTCCTTAACCTTTAAGTGTTTTAGCCGATTGGTAGATCTTAGTTTGGTAGCAGGTTAATCATGTAAAACCATTATTTTTCTGATCTGTGATGGTTAAATTCCCACCTTTAGTGTCATTTTGCAGGATACCATCTTATTTGGGTCTTTTTGAACTTCCTCACATTAAAGGTAGAGAAGAAGAAACATCTTCATATTAGAAATATTAGCCTAGGCAATATATCTGCGGTCAATATTTATATTCAATAAAGGTCAGAATTAAAATAGAAGTGCAAGAACAATTTATTTCACCTGCTAAAGGTTTTTTCCAGTAAAATAAGTGTTTGTAGTTACAGTTAAAGGGTTAATCATGGAGCATAAATGAAGTGATTGGCGGATGTTTACATGTGAAAGAATCGATGCAGAAAGCGTTATGAATTGTCAGTCAGAAGAAGCATGCTGGACTCGTGGGAGGCATAACCTGCAGATCCATTTTCTCAAATGAAAAGACTTTGATGCTTAAGAGATCTGGGCTTCACCGGAATTTGTTTGCCAAGAGGAATTATTCTATGGGGTTTCCAGAGTTATGGAAGGGAATCTGGAAATTTTAATATTGTCATTTCCAGGCCTGAAAATGTCAAAGAAATTCGTAAAATCTTGAAATGTCATGGAAAGATGGAATTTTCTATTGGTAATACACAATTTTCTGTTGTTATGTTTAGCTATTAAATTATATAATTGCTCTCTGTGCATGCAATCTCTATAAAATGATTGAAACCCTTAGCCAGTTAAGTAGTGTAAAATTTAACTGGTCAAAAGCTGTAGGAGCCTTGATTCTATTTAAATACTCAATTAATTGATTCCAGTTTATTTAAAATACATATAACTACAGTAGTATAGAAGGATGTATTAATATTACAACACAGTCATTTTAGTATTATAATATGACACTATTGCTCTATATAAGCGTCTATATTTATACTAATTCATCCATATTTATTTACTTAAATGGCTCTCTGGAAAATTACAAAATAGAAATGCTGATTTTTAAAAAATTATTAATTTAGTATTTTGTATCTCTAAGAGTTGATAAGACATAGATACATATGTGGAAGGGAATGTTCTAGTTTTTCCCATTTATATTAAAAGAGTTGAAAAAATATGGCATGTATTAACATGGTTGAATCTGTTTAGGGTCAACATGTACCCGTAGTTTCAGCTTTGTGGTTTATAGTTAAACACAAGACGTTACACAGGCAGATTATCGGCCAAGTTAGTGTGAATCTGAACCATTTATGTAGTTTTTGGGACCGTTTTTGAGATGAAACTAAGGATCCAGTCCTACGACAATATTATGTCTAATTTGTTTTCTTATAACATTTACTGTCTTTGACTTGGTGTTTACATACTTTTTGGATTAGTATCATATTTAGTTTGACTTGCATATTGTTTTAACTCTTTATTTATTGGATTAAATCATGATGTGGATGACAAATGATTGCATTTTAAAGGCTGCCTGAAAAACAAAGTTACAGGCATTAAGATGAAAGTCAATTGGCTTAAAACCAAGAATCATTTTCCTGCCAATTGATCGTTAAGTCTTCGACTTCAAGTTCACCAAAGAGCCTCTCTCCACGTTCCCGAGCTGTCTCATAAGATGTAATGTTTTAATTTTGTAAATGGATGGACTGGCACAGTACAGGTTGTTTTAGGGGATACAGATGTTCTAGCTGGACGGCGTGAGGGGACTGTGACCCTCTAAGGCTAGAAGAAAGCGTGGAAGTGTGTGTGTGTACGATCCTGTGTTGTTTTTACTATATAAAGACATTTTCGGTTGCTGCTCGGCACTGAATTTGTGACTAGCCTTTTTTTTAGATTCTCTTGCTTGTGCATTTCTGCCCGCAGGATGAGAAAATAGATGCAGGATCTGTCTTAGAAAGGGTTGTTACATAAACATGATTTGCCAGCTGTGTTTGAAGATTCACCTCCACCCCCTCAGACATTTATATGGGGACCAATAACCGAATCGTCGCTGTCGCCCACCTCGTTCACTCACATCCTACAATGCAATACTCCCACCGGTTTTCAGATTAAGCGCACAGGTTTTTGCTACGGCTGTTTTTGATAGGCTCAGCAGAAATACATTTAGGGTGCGCTGCATTCTGCTCCCCCATCGTTTGTTTGTTTCGCCTCTAATCACGGTTCTGGGTCGGGGCGATCGTTACTTCTTCCTCCCCGAGTCCATCTCTCTCATTTCCCCTCAATAGCAGCAAGTCATTGATTATCCAAGCAACGCTCTTTCTATTGATCACCGTACGATCACGAAGGGGGCGCTGCTTCGTTTTTTTCTATAATGCACTGCGTCAAAGAAAAAAAAATCTCATGCAGGATGGCGAGGATTTGGGAGGGCGTTGTAAAAGGCGGCCCCATATTGGATGATTTGCTCGCCTCTCTCAGCTCGTCTGCCGTGGAATGGAGGATGGGACCTGAGATGAATATGGATGAGATGAATGAAAGAAGCAATGCTAAAGCTTCTCCTCGAGCCTTCACGCTTGATAGAACAAAGCATGCTGCTTTCTCTCACGTGCGACAGAAAGCGAGTAGTATGTTTTATTCCGAGTGCAATGTTTATATCGGAAGCCATTTTGGTCAGGCAGTTGCTTGGACAGCCGCGCAGGAAAAGTGGTCCTTTCATCACTCCACTAATATTAGATGTATGTTTGTTGTACTTAAGCACAAATGCTATGTAACCCAATTATGAATCTGAAATCTTGAATGCATTGTATAAATCTACAATGCATACAAGAAAGAAGAATCAAAGTGTTCGTAGCTTTATTGCTTTGTGCCTGTTTTTTTAAGGCCCCCAACATAAACCCACAGGAACCTTCAATCCTCAAGCGGATGTTGCTTATTCTGAACCACAGCTGTCTTGGGAGCCTCTAGCAACCAATGATTTGTGTTTACAACCACTGGCTTATTATGAGTAATACCCATTTGGGCTTTTTTATTAATTATTCTGACTTCTCAGTGAGTGCGATGCATGTAATCATATAGATGTACACACAAGACAGGGCTTATTAAGATATTAAGTAGACTGAAGGGGAAAATAACAGCGTACTACCAACTTGTTTTTGTTTTGTTCCTGGTGTAGCACAATGGGAGGGACTCGTTTCCCTCAAAGGCACTGTTACGGATATGCGTGTAGTGTAATCCACTGATTTTTCTCAGCCAAGGGCTTTGTGTTGACAAGTGACAGGAAATAAGTTTGATCCAACTCAAACTCGGGCTGTAGATGCTCCATGTTTTAGAAGAGAAGAAACTGAGAACGTCTTTTGAAACAAAACTGATTTTGGTTTATACTGTAGGTTTACTAGGAATATTCTGGGTTCATTAGTCCATTACAAGTTAAGCTCAGTCAACGGCATTTGTGGCATAATGTAGATTACCTCAAAAAAAAAAAATTTAAATGAAAAAATAAAATCGACTTGTCCCTCATTTTAAAAAAAAAACTGAAATATTAAGGGTATGGTGAAACACTTATGATGGAAGTGAATGAGGCTAATATTCAGAGGATTTAAAAGCAGAAACACGAGGCTTCAAAATTTACAAAAGCTCTTTAATTGTTCTGTTAATTCTTGTGTATTATTTGAGCTGTTCTTGTCATGTTTATGGCCATTTTAGGGCTTTGTGTTACGTTGTCATGTTGTAAACCTGGATATAACTTTCCACAGAAGAGGTTAGTTGCTCTAAAATCACATTAACACATATTGTTTACATCTTGTGACTGAAACTACTGGAACAGTGTTTACAGATTGGCCCCCATTTATTTCCATTGTAAGTGCCTTACTGTAATTTGCTTTGTTTAAAGAAAATGAAGCATAAGTACAAATTAATAAAAAAATTTTGTTGTAATGAACATTATGCCACAAGTGCTGTCGATTGAGTTTAACTTGTATTGAACCTGGAATAGTCTTTTAATTCAGAGCAAATTACTGAATGTATTATTCATTGAACAATGTCATCAGGCCATGTTTGATTTAAAATAATTGTGAAAATGATTGGAAACCAAGAAGTCATTGCTATAAAGTTCATTATTACTTCATCCTGTATCTTTATACATGACATCAACATTCACAGGTATGTTCTTGATTCTCGGTTTAAAGGTGGACTCTGTCATTGTTCTGTACTTCACCTTGTTTTGTTTTTCTATCTGACATTTCCACAAAGATTAATTTTCTCATTCGCATTCTTTTAGAGAGATGCAACCAAGCGGCCATCCATGATCCACCATTTTCATCATCAGATTTTGTCGGATTTCACGGTAATTTGTTTAATTTTCTGCAAAAATTACATACAGATTTTGTTGTCTGCAAACCAGAGTCTACCTTTAACTCTGTGCTGTTTCTTTCTTTCTTTTTCACTGCATAACCACCATAATGCTTTGTTATATTTTGCTGCTCATAATTAACAAAGTAAAATGTGTAACCTTCAAAACAGCCCAATATTGTTATGAAAATATGATGCTTAACATAATATCATGTGTTACATTAATTAGAGTAGATAATGTCAATTATAGCCAGTCTGGACGCAGCCTCTTGATCCAATTCATGACAGACTTTTGTTAGATGCTTTTGAAGAGAGAATACTTATGTATGCATGATACACATTATTTATGAACCCTGCACCATATTAATCAAGGTTAAATTTAGACTCATCCAAATCAAAAGGAGGACAGTCTTAGCTCAGTGAGAAATCTGGGTCATTGCAGAAAAGCATGTATCTGTAGTGTTCTGTAGACACAGTTTGAACCGCCTGTTTATGAAGTGCGAAAACAACGGCAATTTTTAGTATGTGAGTGAAAAATCAGGATTTGTCATTTAGAGGTGTCTGCGAACCCAGTTCTGAGTACATTTATTTGTGTCACAGTAACCTCCATTATTCCCTTGTTGTTTATGCAATTCATAATCTGGTGGCATCCAGTACAACTATTCTGGCTAAATATGAGACTATACTTGTTTAGTTAGAGATCCACTTCATTACACATCCAGATCAATTGGCCTGTGATTCTAATGAGATTACTTCAAGAAGACTTAAACATTGTTAAAATTATACCATTCCTTACTGTTAAAGGGATAATTCACTCAAAAATGAAAATACTGTCATCATTTATTCTCTCTCAAGTTGTTCCAAACCTGTATGATTTTCTTCTTCTGTTATACATAAAAGAATATATTTTAGAATATATTTTAAACGTATTTTAGAATGTTCAAAATATGGCTGGTCCTCACTGACTTGGAAAAAAAATACCATGGAAGTCAAATGGGTACCAGAAACAGATTGGTTACTCACATTCTTCAAATTATCTTTTTTTTATGTTCAACAGAAGAAAGAAATTCATAGTTTGTTTGAGGGTGAGTAAATAATGACAGAATTTTCATTTTTAGGTGAACTTTCCCTTTAAAGAGGTAATTCACCTATAAATGAAACTCACTCTCATGTCATTCCAAACCTGTATGACTTAATTCAGTGAAATACAAATTGTTTTAAGAATATTCAGACCACTCTATTTAATATAATAAAAGTGAATGGTGACTGTGAATCCACAAAATGACAAAAAAGCACCATGAAAGTATCATAAAAGTGGTCCATACGACTTGTGCATTATATCTGAAGTATTCTGAAGTCACACAGTAGTTTTGTATGAGAAACAGATATAAATGAAGTCATAATGCATTGAAAATGTTGACGTGTGTTTGACATTTGCAGGTTTAAATTATGGCTGAATCATGAAGAATCAATCTGTTGAGTCAGATCTTTTCCATGAATCAGCTGATCCACATCACAAAACCAGTGTGAATGATTCATTCATGAATCAGACTTGAGTTCAACTCACTGAATCCATGATCTGCTGACAACGCTTACTAGCTCAGTGACAATTACGAGTTCAATTTTGCTCAATTCACCACACAATCCTGCACACGAGTCGTATTGACTACTTGAATGGTTTATCAGAAAGCTCTAATTCCCATTCATTGTAAATACGTGGTAAAGTCAGATTATTTCATTAATCAAATTTACTCCTTTTGTGCACCACAAAAGAAAAAAGGGCAGTTTTTAAATGCTATAAGGTGAACAATGAATTTGAACCGTATCTATAATATCTACTATATCACTACTAACCCTCTCTATGATTTCCTGCTCTAAACAATCTGATCTGTCACGTTCATCTTGTTAACAGAAAGCTAACACTTCTCTTAATTTGGTTCACACATAACTACAGACATGTGTCATTACTTTGCCACTGATGCAGTTAAGTCGGGCCTTCAACCAAGACATTGTCGTCATTGCCATTGTTAGCTCATTTGTTTTTCCAGCTGCACTCTGACATTAATACTCTGTCCAGTAGTCTCTTTCATTTTTACCCAATTATCAGTGTTAGGCTGCAAGTGCATGTAGCTTAGCCTAGCCATCAGCCTAGCTTGACAAGATAAACTACTTCTCCAGAATAACAATCTAATCTAAAGCGGCCGTCTTCTGGGAGCCGACACAGATTAATTGTGGTGGAATATTAAGCGCGTACCCAAGCGGCCCAGGCAGAAGGATACAATGTCATGTTAAAGTCACGGTGAAGGGACCATGTACTGTGCTTCTGCTGACCTGGATATGCAGCAGCCAGGTAGAGCCCAACAATAGATGAGGCACTTTACTGCCCCACCACTGCTCCACTTTCAGGAAAACCTTTGCTGACCTTTCTCAAGAGGGAAGTGAAATCAGGATGTCTTGTGCTATATTATATGCACCTTACTATTCATTTGCTATAAATGGCTCCTTTACAATGTCTAGCTTGCCAGTTACATAGAATGTGAGTCTCTTAATACGTCTTTTCAAATTCACCTTCTCTTGCACTTACTTTGATTGACGTGTTTAACAAAATGTACCCTCATCCCGGATCTTTCCTACTTACATAACTTGCAATTTTCTTGTTCCGTTTATGTTCTGCTCTTGACTGTTATCGGCCCTCCTTAACTTAAGCGTTAATACTTGTGGTTCAGCGTTAATTACTACTCGTTAAGTCCACTGATCTTATTATAGTGGTCTTGTAGTTCTTTGCTGGTAGTATTTCAACTTGACTTTTATTTATAGCTGCCTTCTCTGATCGCCTCTTAGATAAGATCTAGATGTGCGTTTTCTCATAAGTCAGGCATTTAAGGCATTTAGCAAGAATGTGAATCTATGCATTGTGCGGCCATATTTTATATGCGCTAAAATTAAAAAAATTGGACACACCTCCTCAATCTTTATCAGTTTATTCTACATTTAATAATAATAGGAAGCCATAAAATCTGTGATGTAGCACAAATTGAAGCATGTGACGTATTTAGTGGCCAAAAATGTTAACTTATCTTTTATTTTAGCTTGCTTAAATTGCCACCATTTGCTAGATTACACTCTGGGCATTCAACCAGCTTCATGAGGTGCCACCTGGGATGCTTTTTAAACTGTATATATTATTAAAGACGTTCCCATGTATCCTGAACACTTGTTGGCTGCTTTTTCTTCACTCTCCCTGCTCACATTCATCCATTAAAAAATGTAATTAAAACTTTAGTTATTGTAGTAATGTATGTATGTCTACAAAAGTAGTTTTATGCATTTAAGAGTAAGCAAAAATGCATAAAATAAATGAAGATGTCAGATTACAGAAAAATTTATATAATATTTATAATAATAATAATAGTTGTACTTATTAGATTGCAGAAAATGTTTATTTAAATCTGTTGCAAATATGTATTTATTTAAATAATTAATTTACATGTTAAATTACAGAAAAATAATATTTAAATCTATTGTAAATTGATCATTATTAGTAATAGTAGTAGTAGTATAAATGTTAGATTACAGAAAATTGTATTAAAATCTGTCGTGTATATATTTATTTATTGTATGTTTATATATATATATATATATATATATATATATATTTATTGTATGTGTCAAAAAAAGTGTAAATCTATTGCAGAGTTCATTTTTTCTCTCTTTTTCTGTTTCCAGAGGAAGGCGAATATTTCTTGAAGGTTCTGATTCCAAGCTACGCCGCAGGCTCCATTATTGGCAAGGGTGGTCAGACTATTGTCCAGCTACAGAAAGAGACAGGGGCCACCATCAAGCTGTCCAAATCCAAAGACTTCTACCCGGGTAAGTCTCCTAATTCCAGAAAGTTTTGAAGGGAACCCTTGTCAACCCCCTCTTGTTTACTGCACCACCATCCAGTCATTAAAAAGCACACATTTCAAAGCACCTGGATTATATTATATCTTAATTAACCCATGTTATTAGTCTATGCTAATACATTACCAAAGGTACCTCGTTCCCAAAGTCACTGCGACTCGTTCTTAATGAGAATCATATGGGGCGCTGTCACCTTTGGGCTTGCGGCCACACCATATGGCCTTTATCAGAGCTCAGGTTGCAAAGAGTGCCAGATCAAGTGGGGACAAAGAGCCGAGAGACTCACAAAGCAGCAAGTACAACTTATGTAAGTAAGTTCAGAGCGTAAATAAATGCCGATGCAATGTTTGAATGGTTCCCTTCTAGTAATGTTTATATTTAGAGAGGAAAAAGAGGCATGTTTTGTGTTCGTGTGTGTTGGAATTCTTTCAGATGTTTTTAGGGATGGAGTGACACAGAGGAAACGAGAAACGGCGGGGGGCTTCTGGGCTCTTACTTGAAAGGGCTTTGTGCGATTTGCTCATCCTTCCATCGTTGGCACGTCCAACAGGGCACCTCTATCCCATTCCCCTTGGGATGTGGAGCACAGAGCGATGGCCAGCCATGGCAGATGCCAAATGCAAGACACCTCCTACCCACCCCCCTTTCATTGGTTTTGGCAACCTTGTGTGCTCCAATGTCTAGAGCAGGGGGGTTGCGATGGCTACTGAATTAAGGGAGAGGAACGTAGGGGAATAGTCACCGGTGCTGTGCTAGGTTGTTCGAGTGCTTAATGGGGGGTTCTTCCTCTCCAGTGAAGGGGGCATCTGTATGGAAATTAGTTTGAGCTTTTCCTTGGGTGCGAGTCAAAAGATCCACCTGCTGTGCTGCTCTCATGGTGGGGAAGGAGGGAACGTTTTAGCCGGTTAAGGGAGAAGTGTCTGGTATATCTAAATCGCTAAACCATTTAAAGAAGTACATCATGTCTCTGAAGATACCATTTGTGATAGAAGCTGAGCTGGCATTTAATTTTGGACAAAGCAGCGCTGGCCAGAGACATCCATTATTTCTGCAGAACGGATTTATTAGTTGTCTTCGCTCTAAATATAGCTCCTGCAGCATTTATTGGGGAACAGCCATGTTTTACAATGACCTTGCATCTGTGAAGTACACTGTTCCATCTTAAAGACACAATAAGAGACTATTAAGTTAAATGTAGTTTATATGTTGTCATTTTTATTAACTAGCATGCAAATTCATGCAATTTCAGAACATAAACTGGATCTTACAGTTAAGTGGCCACTACTTAAGCATAGTTCACCTAAAAATGACAATGCTGTCATCATTTACTCACTCTCATGTCATTACAAACCTGTATGACTTTCTTCTTCTGTGTAATACAAAATGAAATGTTTTCAAAAATATTTTTGTCCATGCAAAGAAAGTCAATAGGGTCTAATTATTTTTAATGGACAAAAACAATTGAAACATTTTTAAATTATATTTTTGTGTTCCACAGAAAAAAAGAGAATCATTCAGAAATGAAATGTACAGAATTTGAATTTTTCATTGAACTTCCCCTTTAAATGATGTAAAGTTAAATGTAGTTTATATGTTGTCGTTTTTATTAACTAGCATGCAAATTCGGGATGCTACAGTTAAAGGGGTCATATGATGCGATTTAAATTTTTCCTTTCTCTTTGGAGTGTTACAAGCTCTTGGTGCATAAAAAAGATCTGTAAAGTTGCAAAGACTAAAGTCTCAAATCCAAAGAGATATTCTTTATAAAAGTTAAGAGTCAGCCACACCCAATCACAATGCACTGGATAGCTGGCCAATCACAGCACACCTCGCTTTTTCTGACCGATGAGCTTTGTAAAAATCGACACGTTTCAGAAAGGCGGGGCATATAGGAGAAACAATAATGTACAGTATGTGGAAAATAATGTGTTTTTTGAACCTTAAACCGCATAAACACATTTCATTACACCAAATACACAAAATAATGTTCTTTTTAGCAACATCATATGACCCCTTTAAGTCTCAGGTACTTAAAGTGACAGTTCACCCAAAAATTTAAATTTGGTCACTTACTCACCCTTATCTCATTTCAAACCTGTATGAATTTCTATTTTCAGTGACACAAGAATATATAAAAAAAAAAAATCCATACAAAGAATGTCAATGGGGTTCAACGCTGTTTTAGAACCACTGACTTTGTTTGTATAGACAAAAACAGTTTCTCAACATTCCTTAAAATATCTTCTTTTGTGTTCCACAGAAGACAGTCATATAGGTTAAAAAAACAACAACATGAGGGTGAACAAATGATGGGAGATTGTGTGTGTGTGTGTGTGTGTGTGTGTGTGTGAACTATCCCTTTAATTACTAAAAAAACTACTTTAATTCAAAGACTTATGCTCCACAGTCATTTGCATGAAAAAAAAAAAACTAAAGTCACATTTTAACGCACAATGCTTGCTTGATTTTTCTCACAGCGTTTTCAGATACGAGTCCAGAGAGTTGCATCATCCTTTTTTCTTTATAATTGGCCAGCGCTCTTCCTCTCAGGTTTCCTGAGTGTGTGTACATTCTGACTTTTCCCTGTCCAAGTCACTGATCCCCATCCAGCCTCTCTGTCCCTTTCAGCAGAATGTAGCACAATATTAAAGCTCACTCCTAATCCAGCACCATGATTGCAGTTTTTCAGTGTTTAATACCCAGAGAGCCATGCGGCCCTCCCCCCACACATTATCAACACTACTGATTTGTCTGCTGTGTAATCTGCTTAAGACCTAAGCTTTGTGGCCAAAAGATGAAAAGCTGCAATATTACATATCTAGGGGTAGAAATTAGTTTTCTGCGTGTTTATTTTATTTGTTTTTTTCTCTCTCTTGCCCCCTTTCTTCAACCTTACTCCCTTAAATAATTCATTTTTATTTGCAATGACCTTAGTGTTGCTTTGTTTCATTCAAGCCGAGTCATGTTTTGTTTAGCACACTTTTAAAAACAGTACTTAATTGCATGTTATTTGAAATTAAATGAATGTGTTTTGTATTCAAATTAATTTATATTTATATTAAAAGCAACTAGTTAACCATAAGAGTCATTTTTTGACATACTAAGTTAGGACTTGTGTACATTTCTATATGTGCTTTCATAATTTTGTACATCTTAATATGTAATAAAACAGTAGTGAATAAAACTCTACTGTTAAAATTTAAAACAAGCACTTCACATGGTCTTTAGTATGTTAGTCAACACATCAAATAAGTGAACTTCTTAAAAGCATAATAAAAGTTTGCTAAAATATCAATAAAACTGTACTTTAAAGTAAATCTTTTAATTTGATATTATTATAAAGTGTAATATTTCTTTAATCAATATTATATTATATTATATAGTTTTTAAAAATATACTTTTAAGATTTGATGCTTTTCATAAGGAATGTGTGTCTTAGTATACTTTAGTTTGTGTAAAACTCTTTTTGGACAGAAATTTTCCATGGTAATACCATGTTTTTGAACTTTGAAGTACCTTATGCTCACAGTACCATGTAAATATCATGATATATATCAGAGTACCTTCAAATCACTGTTCTATAGTACCACCATAGTATGTTTTTGTAAAGGAGTGCTGACACTTTTATGATAGAGTTAGCCTTTATTGCTACTGAATAAGCAAATGTTAGCACGGGTTAGCAAGCAATTATGTGACTTTTGCGGTGTTTAGGATTTGGCCTGTGGAAAAGTGTGTCAAAAAACCTTGAAAGATTCTCACTCGAGGAGTGTTATGTTCAGAAGGTGAAGTTGTTTTGTAGCATTCTAGTGGCAATGCCAACTGAAATTGTCTACTGTTAAAATGTCAATATGTCTTAAAGCTTGTGCATTCTAATTAATGATTCAACAAATTTTTGTGCTTGTTAATCAGTCTGTCTGTGAACTTCATTAATTGAGCGCTATGTGTAAGTGCTAGCCTAAATGCTAGCATGTAAAAACGCTATTGTCAGAGACGGCGGGATAGTCGTCATCTGGGCTGTGGAGGAGAGACGAGGTACCCTTAATCCCCGTGGCTTTGTTTTCTTTTTCAGGCATGTGACGTCATTTTCTGTGGCCGCTAGCCCTCAGTGCCAGCCAGTGCCTGAGACTCACACAGTCAAACCATCTTGTACAAAAGAGCCTTGCTTTCCAGAGCGAGTTTGACCCGAGTCTCACCATAGACAGAGCGATATAGAGAGAAACACTTAGCGAGGGGGATGATGGGAGTGATGGTGCAGACAGTGATCTTGAAAATGATGAAGATGATGGTACATCAGAGTACATTTGTGATATAATTAGCATGTTGCCTACTTAGCGTGCTGGCACTTTCAATTAGGTATGATCGTCGGAAAGATCTTCAGAATTTGACTTCTTTCTTTCTTTCTTTCTGTCTACCCTTGTGAAAAGAAGTGTGCTTAATTGTTATGCAGTTATAATTGTAGTGTATTCTTTAATATTACATTTAAAGTAAATATATTTTAAATGTACTAAATTGCGACTTTGTCATAAATGTTTTGTTACATATATATTTAAATACATGACATACGAGTATATTTTAGTTTACCATAAATGCTTGTCAGTACATTTGTCCGTAAACGTAACCATATTTCAAAGACAATAGAAGTAATTATGAAATTGCATACTGTAAGTCCAACTTAAGTATGTCAAAAAAAGCATTCTTAAGTTCAGCTAACTGCATTTAATATAAATTTAAATTATATATTTTTTAATATAAATGCAAATAACACTAAATTGTGTTTCTGAAAACATTACATTCAGTTCGCACTTACAGTAAGTATATTCTTTTAAAGTAAATTATTTCTGTTAAAGTATCTTCCTGCTTTACCCCCTTCTCTTTTGTACCTCTTTCCTCTTGGGTGTTGTACTTCTGTGTCTGTAATGTGCGGCTAGAAAGCCTCAGAGGGACCTGCCATTAATAGAACACTGCAA